ATACATAATAAATAAATAAATAAATAAATAAATAAATAAATAAAATTTAAAAAAAAGATGGAGACGAAACTAATGGAGATAAAATATTCTTGAAATAAGAAGCTCAGTATAAGGAGCTGGTGGTGCACTAGACAGAGGTGAAGAGAGAATTGGTGAACTGGAAGGCAGATCTGATAGCTAAATGCAAAGAGGGGCCTGAGGCAAGAACTCAAATGATCTAGAGGAGAAAGTGATAGAAACAAGCCAATATCTTTGTCCTTTTAAACCTCTGGATGTTCCAAATCCAGTGCTTTTTCTATTATGAAAAGAACACGTCAGACACCTGTCAAATGTGTGACACTATTCATACAAAGTCAAGTTAGAGACTGACTCCACCCTAGTCAAACAGCAAGCATCCTGCCTTGTCCTGACTCTGCTTTGAAGTGATGGTTTGGGAGCTGAACTGCTGCTGAGTGGCATCCTGTCCCTGATCATCTAAGCATCTTCCTCTCTTGATTAGCCCATAGAGCTGAGCTGAGCACCTGTGCACGTCTAACAGTTAACACACTTCCTCCAACAAACCCACATCTCCTAATAGTGCTACTCCGTGTGAGCTTATAGGAGCCAATTACACTCAAACTACCACAGCAGCTTAGATTGAAGGGCTGGAAAGGACTGTGCAGGGCCCCTGATGAACACTTCCCCTAGGTCCCCAGCATTGCCCACTTCTCCCTGTCCTCTCCCCTACCTGACCTGACACCTTCTTTTGCCTTTGTATAGAATCCTGTTTCCTATTCACCTTCACACGCCAGAAGCTGCCCCCCTTTTGCCAGCAGGGGTACCTAAAGATGCAGGGGCTTTCAAGCACCAAGAGCCTTTGGCAACATGGTGTGGAAAGCAGGCTCTTGCAGGACTACACAGCCATGGAGGACAGCAGCAGTCGACTTGGTGACCACCCCTCGGCTCCAGGGTCTCTCACTCAGACCCTTGACAGCAACAAGGAGGAGCTCTGAACATCCCCTCCCGGACTATGGAGGTAGTGCCTCCTGGGGGCCCTTTCCCCAGGCTCTCTCTTACCTCTCAGGCTGCTCAGGACCATCACAGAGATAACAGACGACAAGACAGCCTATAGAGTGCCGAAGGCTGGGACACAGTCACACAGTAGTGTCCTGTCCTGTGCTGGCCCCTGGGTGCTAGATGCACAGTTAAGAGGACGGTACCATCTGTCAAGAAGGAGCTGCCTTCCACAGCCTGCTTGTGTCCAACTTAGAGCATCACTAAGCACCACCCTGGTCTGGTGTGTCAGCTGCTAGGACCAAGCTCCTTTCCCCTCTGGTTCACTCTGCAGATGGGCTTGGGTCTGCCAGGGGAACGGCTCGCAGCTGAAACCCCCTCATTTCCATAGCAGGCATATTATAAGGAAAGCCTGAGGGCTTCAGCCGTGGGGTAGACGGTTGAGATCTCTGCTTCCCAGTACATCTATGGACCCCGACTCAGAAGCATCAAGCATCTCCTAGGGTCCTCGTCCCTAGGGTCCTCGTCCCTCATGGCGCTCTTTCTTTCCACATCGTCTCACCTCCTCGGCACTGGCCCTTGGCGGAACTCCAGTCAGGGTGGGGACAGAAAACGCCTACAAGGTCGTCTGCCCAGCTGACTTCTCAGGAGCAGAGCACCTCAGAACTGCCCTGTCCCTGAGATCACACTCCCAGGGATTAGCGGCCTCTGTGTCCCTCTCCCACATTGCTGTCTGGTATCCTGAGCCCTGTCTTCCTTGAGACCTGCCTGGGCAGGTTTACAGTGTTGCTGCGCCTACTGCCTTAGGCGTGGAAATGTTGACACTTGCCGGCCCCTGACAGTCTTGATGTTCCTCTCTTCTTTCTTGCTTTCCTCACCAGAGTCCACATTCAGCCAACAGATTAGTCTCACTGATGAATAAGCCACAAGGAAAACATGACCCACAAGGGCAGCCTGGTGATCATGTGATTTCCCATAGCCCCAGAACGCAGGTACTGTTTCTCACCAGCCCTCTCATTCTCCATGGAGGCCCCGCAGATGCTCAGGGACCTGTCAACCCAAAGCCCCTTCATGAGAACGTCCTCTTCTCCAAAGAAGAGTCTTTTCTGGGTCCAATCCCTCTTGGTCACCTGACCGTCTGCAGCCACCTTCCTCCCCGGTGCTTACCAGATTCTAACAGGGCAATCCAACAAGTTCATGTCACCAGGAGGAACTATGTCCCCTGTACCTACTTGGGGTAGTTTGCACAGGGCCAGACCTCCCTAGCCCAGGATGTCAGAGTCACACAGGTTGATTGGCAAGTCAAACTGGGACCCTGCCGTCCCACCCTCGCTCACAAGGTATTTTTAAGTGAGTCGTTGATTTAGTGTTATCCCATGACATCGAATCCTGTTCCTCACATCTTACCCTCTGCTCACTGAGCCTGGCCGAGCCACTTGTTCGGTGCCTTAGCAAGTATCTGGCTGACACCCTTGTATATGACATCTGCTGCTTCCTGTCATCTGCCAGATCGTTGATTCTGTCACAGTATCAGGCAGCCTTGTTTGTTTTTAACACGAAGGATTCTGTTCTTGCTCAGTTGGCTAGAGATGATTTCTACTTCCCTCCCCCCCCCCCCCCCGAGAGAGTTTCACCATGTCCTGCCTGGCCTGGTACATATTACATAGCCCAGCCTGCACTTGGATTCATGGTCATTCTCCCACCTCAGCCTTCCAATAGTTAGGATTACAAGCTCAAACCACATAAGCTTTTTTAAGGTTTATTCTTAATTATGTGTATTTGTATGTGTCTGTTTGTGGGTATGTGTACGTGAGCGCAGGTGCCCAGAGATCAGAAGAGGATGTCAGAGCCCCTTAACGCTGGAGTTACGGGAGGCTGTGAGCAAGCCTGTGTAGAGGCTGAGAACTGAGCTCAGGTCCTCTAAAGAACAGTAAGTGCTGAGCCAGTTTCTCCTGCCCCAGAACTATTTCAAAGAAAAGATTAAAGATAAAGCCAACTGGATGGGGTACACACCAATATCCCAGCAATAGGGTGGCCAAGGCAGGAAAATGGAGGTTCAAGGCCAGCCTGGGCTACATGCAAAGTTCCAGGATAGTGTGGGCAACTGAACAAGATCCTGTCTCAAAAAAGAAATTTTAAAAAGGCAGAAATAAACTGGGTGCAGTGTTACATGCCTTAATCTCAGCACTCCTAAGGCATAGGCTGGAATAGCACTTGTGAGTGAGTTCAAGGCCAGCCTGGTTGGCCCAGCAAGTTCCAAGCCAATAGAGCTACAGTATGAAATCCTGTCCCAAAAGTAAATAAATTTTTTGAAAAGCATGAGCAAAAATAGTTATGGTGAAGGGACTGATTGAAACCCGTGAAAAATTCTAAGCAATTTTTCATGATCATCTCTTCTGTGGTGTAGATAGAGAAGGGCTGGTGAGTCTGTGCCTCCACACGTGACACTGCCCCAGGTGAGCTGGGACAGCAGCTGGAGCTGCTGATAGCCGTGAAGATAGGAACCACAGGATACCAGCAGTGGCTCTGCTGGGACCGGGGACGGGTTCTTTTTTCCTCTTTTGATCAAATTTGTGTTTAGTTTTCAAATGTGATTCTATGCTACTGAAGTAAAAATACATTTATTTTTAAACCATTTCTGCTCTTGAATTTTGGAATTGCTGGGAAAGAGTGGACATGGGAGCCCTTGCAAGAGACTGCTCTGCTTTGATGGTCCAGGCGGTGACCGGGTGGGTTACCCTAGAGAATCACTAGAGGGAAGGAGCACCGTGCTTCAGGATGTAAGCGTGCTCAGGGCAGAGTATGAGGGACACACCTGATCCCTAGCACCTGGGAGGGGGTCAGGATGTAAGCATGCTCAGGGCAGAGTATGGGAGATGCACCTGTACCCTAGCACCTGGGAGATAAGAGGTAGAGACAGGAGGATCAGAAGTTCACGGTCACCCTAGGATAAACAAGATCCTGTCTTTAAGAAGAAAAAAAAAACCACCACACCTTTAATCCCAGCCCTCAGGAGGCATAGGCAGAAGCAGGTAAGTTCAAGACCAACCTGGTCTACATAGCGAGTTCCAGAACAATAAGCCGCATAGTGAGATCCTGTCTCTAAGGAAATAAAAAGGCTGTCCGGGCTAAAGGAAGTGAGTAGGTAGACTTGCTCCTCACGCGGAGTCTCTAATGACAACTGAGCATACATGACCACATGGCCATCCTTGGAAACATCTTCTCCCGAATGACAGGAAATCAGAGACAAAGTTCCTCCTCTTTGAGAGACCCCCCAGGACTGATCTCCAATGCCTTGGATACCCCAAATTCTTTCTGTATGACAAAAGTGGAGGTGTCCCCGAAGTCTGCCCGGAAACCAGTGGGCTAAAAACCCTGGGGATGTGGATCAGTTGCCTATAATGCACAAAGCCCTGGGTTCACGGTCATCCGGTGTGGTGGTACACAGCAGAAAATCCAGTTCCTTCAGGGGACAGAAACAGGAGGATCAGAAAGTCAAGGTCGTACTCAGCTATAGTGAGTTTGAGGCTAACCTAGGATATATTAAATGATTTAATAAAAACTCATATATGAGCCAGGCGGTGGTGGCGCACGCCTTTAATCCCAGCACTCGGGAGGCAGAGGCAGGCGGATCTCTGTGAGTTCGAGGCCAGCCTGGTCTACAAGAGCTAGTTCCAGGACAAGACCAAAAAGCTATAGAGAAACCCTGTCTCAAAAATAAAATAAAAAAAAACTCATATATGCTAGATATAATGTTAAAATCCTGCAATCTACATTTAGGAGTTGAAGGGAGGAGAATCCGTAGTTCAAGGCCAACCTCAGCCTCGTGTGAGTTTGAAGCCCCCCCATGAAGTATGTAAGACCTACCTTAAACCACACACACAAGAAACTGAGACCTGCCTGCAAGCACAGGTGACCTTAAGCATGGACCCTACCCTAGGCAAACCAGGTAAGTGTAATACCTGCAGTAGTAAGTCCAAGTCACCAATAGTGCTTTGGGGTTACATTAAGAAATCAAAGCACGTCCCCCAGTGTCATTTAATCAAGAGTGAGTCGATTTGAACTCTCTGCTTCGGGCTCCCCAGGACTTATGTCCTGTCTGTCTGTTGTATGAGTCTGGATCGGTGCCTGCCTGAAAGCTGTCTTGTGAACCTGGCCCTCGTCTTTCTCTGAGTATATCTGAGTGTGTGTCTTTAAGGGAGGGCTTTGCCCTCTCCTTCATTGAACAGCGCAGAAGCTGTTTGATGGGGTAAGGAATGGGACACTTTATAGAAATCTTGAACAGAGTTTTATAAGGGATTAAGTCACTGGCTCCAACTGAGACCAACTGACCCAGACAGCAAACACTACTACAAACATTACTGTTTATCAAGCAATATCCATTCGATGCAATCAACATTTATGGGTATTTTTATAAGATTGCTGATGTTCCCAGCAAATGATTATAGTAACACACACGCACTACTCTTGGATCAGGGGCATGAAAAAGTACTTAGTTAAGATTACCGCTACGCATTGGTTTAGGTTGCAAAGGTGGATTACATGGGAAATCCGAGGCAAGTAATAGCGACTGTTACATGGTTCTCTTGAGGGCGGTTAAGCAGACAGGCTGAGTACACACAGGGACAGGGCTCTTAAGTGAGCTCTAGGTGTGAGATCCAGCAAAAGTCCCAGTTTCTTAGACATTTTCAGCACAATGCATTGCCACAGCCACAGCTCCGCCCCATCAGGGCCTGATGAGAGACCCTGAGCCGAAACCAGCCAGGCAAGCTGCTCCAGATTCCTGACCACAGACACTCCGGAACGGTGTCTGCAGCTTAGCTGTTACATGGATGGACGTTGTTACACAGCATCTAAGGACTCATGCATGCTTTACACCAACTCCATCCTCACCACGACCGCATGAGGAGAGATGACTGCTGAGTGAGGCTGAAACTTGAACTCAGCACTCTGCAAGAGCAGCCAGTGCTCTTAATTGCCGTCTTTCTAGCCCAAATGTGTTTGGCTTTGACTCACAGTGTGAGGATACAGTCAGTCATGGGGGAGAAGGCTTGGCCTCCAGAATGTGAGGCTGCCAGTCCCCTTGTGTCCCCAGTTAGGAATCAGAGAGAACTAAGTGCTGCTTCTTGGCTCACTTCCTCTTTTTTATTCGGTTGTGGAGCCTGGCTCATGGGCGCTGCTTCCCACATTCTGGGCAGGTCTTCCCTGTCCTTCAGAGACATGTGTTTCATTGAGAACTAACTGTCATGGTTGCCTAGTCCTGCCGTCCTCCACATAGGTATCCTTCAAGTGAACCCTAGTGACAATTCTTTTTTCTTTTATTGGGGTGCTGTGTTTTTCTGTGTGTCTGTTTCCTTTCATTTAATTTTTTATTAATATGTCCTCACCAACTCCCATGGGCTTCATATTTTTTTTACATTTTATTTATTTATTGTGTGTGTCCACACACGTGTGGGCTTGCACACCACAGCAGACATGTGGAGATCAGGACGGCTTGAGGGAGTCGGTTCTCCCCTCCTACCACCTAAGTCCCAGACATTGAACTCAGATCGTCAAACTTAGCAGCAGACGCCTTCATCCACAGAGCCGTCTTGTCTTGCTAGCTCAAGAATTCTCAAACCTAGAAAGACATATGGTTCCCACGGGGTGGGGGTTGGGTGAAGTGAAGAGACAGTTGAGCGATATTAATTACATAGCAGGCGCCAAATGAACCCCCTCCTCCCCAAAGGCATGGTAGGTGATTCGGAGTGGTGAGGGAGACCCCTAGACTCGGTACACCAGCCCTTGTGCCCTCGGCTCCACAGCCAATTAGAACATCAGCCACCCAGCCAAACTGGATTCTTCTCTCCAAAATAAGCCATCAACAGCATCTTTCCACTGCAAATGCTTGTTTTAAAATACGGGGGAAACGCTGACTGGATAAAGTCAGACTGCGCTGCGGGCTTTAAAAAAGCATTTAATCCAAGCTGGCATCCCAGACGGAATGCAAATCTGCCACAGAGCAAAGCTGGTGGGCAAGTAGGAGACGCTGCAGCCCAAGCATCTAGTCCAAGTGCATCACACGACCGATCCATCAACCAGAAATAAAAAATAGCACGCAACAGATGTACTTCAGCAAGGAAGAAAGGAACAGCAGGCGAGCCTGTCTCGCTCCTTCCTCTGGTCTGCATAAATAAGTCTGCTTTGCTGGCTCTTCTGCAGAAGCCCCGTTACAAGAGATGTCTGTCACCTGCTTCTTCACTTCTTTCTGAGACACTATCATTGCTAACCTAGTCTCTCAAGTTCTTTCAAATCATCAGTAAATAATTGAATGCAAAAAAAAAAAAAAAACCCTCAGCCAAAGATGATAATGAAATATCTGAGAATGTCCGGTGTGTGGCATCGTCATCTGGCCTTGCAGTTTTGAAACAGAGCGACAACAAAATGCATGAGGTGATCCCAGCCACAGCTTCATTGAGGTTTAAACTGTGTTGGAAGATGCACCCAGAAGCCTCGATCTAAGGCACTGCCATTGATTAAACATGGTTCAAAGTCTGGCCACCATGGGGGTGTATCCATGTCCTCCTGTTGAATCATGGTAGGTAGGCCAAAGAAGAGAAGTAGAAATAGTGATGTCCCAACTATCAGGCAGAGCCTTGGGAGATTGGCAGCTCCCTGACTAGGCACCCAAGCTACCCTGGGAGGAAGCCCCATGGAGACAGAGGCTCACAAGAACAGGAGTGAGGCACCTGACTGAGCTGCCAGCCAGCTCCACATCAGGCCTATGAGTGAGCTACATGGAAGCAGGTTCTCTGGCTCACTTGACTATCCCTAGTGCAGCGTTTGGCAAACCTCTACTTCCAAAAATATTTACCTTTCAGTTCATAACACTAGCAAAATTACAGTTATGAAGTAGCAACAAAATAACTTTATGGTTGGGGGTCATCACGACATGAGGAACTGTGTTAAAGGATCCCAGCAGTAGGAAGGTTGAGAACCACTGATCTAGTGGGTACCATGTGGAACAGAGAGTCCCTGCAATTATCAAGTACTACCCAAATTTCAGCCTCTCCATCTCTGTCTCCCTCCTCTCACTCCCCACCCCCGTGTGTGTATATGTGTGTGTCTCCTGTAATCTCAGCAACTGGAAGACTGAGCATAAAGATCACAAGTTCGAGGCTATCCTGGACTACAGAGCAAGACCCTTTCTCAAAAAGTTTTATAAAATTAATGGTAAAAATAAGGGCTAGGGATGTGACTTAGTTCATAAGAATGCCGGCTTGAGGTGCAGGAGATCCCAGCCCCACATAAGCCAGGCTTGTCGGGACCAGAAGTTCAAAGTCATCCTCCACTATACAGCCTATCTGAAGCCAACGTGGGGCACATGAGACTCTGCCTCAAAGTTAATTCCTAAATAAAGATAAAAAGCCTCATTTCACTCTTGGTAGGTTCTCTGCCTTCCTTACTGTGAGATGGACACTGCTCACCACACCTTAGACTCCAGAATAGAAGCCAAATGACCTTATTGGCCAACAGTTCCTTTGAACAGAATGTCAGTCATCTCTACAGAAAGGAAGCTGGTCCCTTGAGGAAAATAAAACAAAAACAAAACAAAAAAAAACCACCTCT